CCCAGATGATGCTTTGATGTCTTTAGCTCAGCAATGTAGGAGCTCTGACAATCTCTCCAGTGTTTGCAATGAAGTGCTGGTGCCAGTGCTCAAACCTGTGATGTGTTTTTATTGTGGTTTGCCCTGTGGGTTTATAGGTTGTAAACAGCTGAACGATGATAACCATGTGAATAACAAGGTGTAGAGCTGGATGAACAGCAGGCCCAGCAGCATCAGAGGAGCAGGATGGCTGACGTTTCGGGCCTAGACCCTTCTTCAGAAATAACCATGTGGATACCAGCTTTTATAGGATGTTCAGGCTGTGGGTCGAGAGCCCAAAAACAGGCAGACGGGTTTAAATCCACTGCCCAGTTCTGGTTACCAAAAACATGAAAGCAATGCACAGCGATCCCTACAAAGGATCAACCCCTCTGTGAGATGGCAGTGCTGGCTTCTGTTAAATAACTTGGCAGGTTTGCTGCTATTGTCACTGTCTTTACAACCCCAATTGATGCAGTGATCGAAAAGAAGGCCATTCAGCCCTTCAAGCTGATGGTGCGGGATGGTGATTTAGAAGAATGCGTTTCTCCCCAGTCTTCCAGTTTGGATGCAAATCGCCTGACTTTAAAAAGGTTGTCCCACTCCTGACATTCTCCTTGTGCTCACTTTGGCAGCACGTATACTAAAATCGAAATGATACAGAGAAGATTAGCATGGCTCCGGCGCAAGGATGACACACAAATTCGTGAAGTGTTCCATATTTTTGGTTAGCACTGCTGCTTCTCAGCACTAGGGACCTGGGTTCGATTCCACACATGGGCGATTGTCTGCGTGGAGTTTGCACGTTCTCCCCGTGTCTGCGTGGGTTTCCTTCGGGTGCTCCAGTTTCCTCCCACAGTCCAAAGATGTGTAGGCTAGGTGAATTGGCCATGCTAAATTGCCCATAGTGTTCAGGGATGTGTAGATTAGGTGGGTTATAGGAGGATGGGGCCGTGTAGGATGTCTGAGTGTCAGTGTGGACTTGTTGGGCCGAAGGGCCTGTTTCCACATGGTAGGGATTCCATGATTCTACGATCTTCGATGATAAGCATTGATATCACAGTGTGGTCCAGCTTAACAAGTTCTAACGTACATAATGTTTGAAAGGATCAAACAAAGTAACTTTACTGGGTGGGGATAAGGGCATCAAAAAGGGCAGCACAATGGCTCAGTGGTTAGCGCTGCTGCTTTACAGCATCAGGGTCATAGGTTCAATCCCACCCTCAGGCGTGAGTCTCTGTGTGGAGTTTCCACATTCTCCCTGTGTCTGCGTGGGTTTCCTCCAGATTCCTCCCACATTCCAAAGATGTGCAGGTTAGGGTGAGTTGGCTGGGCCATAGTGCCCAGGGATGTGCAGGTTAGGTGGTTTAGCCATGGGCAATGTAGGGTTACAGGGGTTGGTCTGGATGGCACACTCTTTGTAGGATCATTGTGGTAGGGATTCTATATGATGCTCTTAGAGAAACAATCCTTTTGGAGGAGTTGAAGAGTTGAGAACCTCGTGTGGAAGAGCAGAGTGTTAAGACTACAGGATTAGCAGCGAAATGACTGACAATTATGAGTCAGCTCATAAATTGAAGTTTGGCTTCCAGCACCAGTTTCAGTGTGTGAGGGATGGAAATTGGGGAAAAGAGAAATCCTTAGGTGGCAGGGGAAAAGGAGAGCTCATTGAAGATAGTTTACCACAGGGTGACAAGGAGGGGGCAAGAGAAGTGAAAAAGCTCAGGTGTTTTCACTGCAATAAAGTAGGCCACATGAAGTTACAGAGTCGGTGGTTTAAGAGAAGAATGGTGAAGGCGAATGTGGGAAATGGCAATGAGTAGAGGGATATGGGCCAAATGCAGGCAAATGGTTCTAGTTTAGTTTGCGAAACCTGGTTGGCATAGAAGAGTTGGGCCGAAGGGTCTGTCTCTGTGCTGTATGCCTGTAGAGCTCAGTACTGGGCCCTGCTGGGACCTGCAGCCATCTCACAAAGCATGGATTCCAGAGAGGGAGTGGGAGTGGCATGACTCTGAGGGCTCCAGTTGGGAAAGGATCTTATGGAGTGCTGGAAGGTGGTGGATGGTGGGGGAGGGGATTGGGGTGTGGTGTGTACTGGACAGTGGAGGGGAGGCACGATGGGTACATACGCACTTGGCACCGCCAAGGAACATCAGCCCCTTCTCACTTTTATTCAGCAGGGTTGGTGAGAAACGGGGCTTTCCGTGCTGTAATGTGAACACCGCATGCTACTCCAGCCTCCCACAAGGCTGAATTCCCTTATCACTTGTGTCATTCATGTGAATCACTTCTGCAACCTGCCCAAGGTCAGGGCAACCTCCCAAAGACGAAGTGTCCCGAATTGAATGCGGCTGTATAGCTAAGGCGGCAGTGGTGTTTTCTGAAGGTTTAACGTAACCTTGCTGACTTGTACGCTATGACTCTGTTGGTAAAGCCAAATAGTCTCTTTGCTTCAGAGATAGCCCACAACACCGCCCCCCCTCAGTGGTCGAGAACGCCCTCGACCGTGTCTCCCGCATTTCCCGCAACTCATCCCTCACACCAATAAAATCCAAAACAGAATCCCCCTCGTCCTCACATACGCATCATCCTCTAACACTTCTGCCATCTGCAAACCGACCCCACCACCAAAGACATTTTTCCCTCCCCACCCTTATCTGCTTTCCGGAGGGACCACTCTCTCTGTGACTCCCTTGTCCGCTCCACACTCCCCTCCAGCCCCACCACACCTGGCACTTTTCCCTGCAACCGCTACACCTGCCCCTACACCACCTCCCTCACCCCCATCCCAGGCCCCAAGAAGACTTTCCACATCAAGCAGATGTTCACCTGCACATCTGCTAATGTGGTATACTGTATCCGCTGTTCTCGTTGTGGCCTCCTCTATATCGGGGAAACCAAGTAGAGGCTTGGGGACCGCTTTGCAGAACACCTACGCTCGGTTCGTACTAAACAACTGCACCTCCCAGTCACGAACCATTTCAACTCCCCCTCCCATTCCTCAGATGACATGTCCATCCTGGGCCTCCTGCAGTGCCACAACGCTGCTACCCAAAGGTTGCAGGAACAGCAACTCATATTCCGCTTGGGAACCCTGCAGCCCAATGGTATCAATGTGGATTTCACAAGCTTCAAAATCTCCCCTCCCCCTACCACATCCCAAAACCAGCCCAGCTCGTCCCTGCCTCCCTAACCTATCCTTCCTCCCACCTATCCCCTCCTCCCACCCCAAGCCACACCCCCATTTCCTACCTACTAACCTCATCCCGCCCCCTTGACCTGTCCGTCCTCCCTGGACTGACCTATCCCCTCCCTATCTCCCCACCTACACTCACCTTTACTGGCTCCATCTCCGCCCCTTTGACCTGTCTGTCTCCTCTCCACCTATCTTCTCCTCTATCCATCTTCTATCCACCTCCCCCTCTCTCCCTATTTATTTCAGAACCCCCTTCCCCTCCCCCATTTCTGAAGAAGGGTCTAGGCCCAAAACGTCAGCCTTTCTGCTCCTCTGGTTGGCCTTCCTGCTGCTTGGCCTGCTGTGTTCATCCAGCTCTACACCTTGTTATCTCTAGTCTCTTTGCTTTTTCTAATAGACTTTTCAATTGAAGACATTCATGCATGTGCAACCCCATGTCTCTCTGCTCCAGTATCCCATTGAAACCTTTTCCATTGTTTCAACTATTTTGAAATTATGCCCTAAATCTTTGAGTATGGTAAGTCACTTGGTGAAATGACTTTTGAATATCCACCTGTAAAACATCTGCTGAATGGACCTCTCTGACTTCAAATAACGTTGATCTTGCTTCGGGCACCTCTTGTGCAGCCGTAACTTTGTATGCCTCGCTCTGTCTAAGCGCCCTATGATCTGTATGCCCTTGTTTGCTATGATCTGCCTGTACTGCTCACAAAACAAAGCTTTCCACCGTGCTTAGGTACATCTGTCTACAACAAATCAAATTAAATTGAATCTCATCATTTCCACCAAGCCCCTTTGCTTGTTCATCAAGAACTTATTCAAGTTCAAACTCAATATTGACTCACATTTACCTGTCTCTACCAGCTTCTCCATGGTGAACTGGTCTGTAGTTGTTGGGTTTTTCTCTCTACCTCCTTTTTACTCAGAACAGCACAATTTATCAGTCCCCTAGCGCCACTCCCATTTCTAAGAAAGGATAGGAACATTCTGGATGGAGCCTGTGCAATTTTTATCCTTACTTCCCCAGTAATCGAGGATACTTCCCATTCGGATGGGGTGATGTTGCTAGTGTCAGCACTGCCAACCTGTTGAAGTATCTCCCTTTATCTACTGGTATCCTATTCAACATTGTTACAACCTGCTTTTCTTTTGTGAAGGCAGATGGCAAGTTTTAATTTGCCATAGCCTCAGCCCGTACCATCAGCTGCTACGAGAGAATCTCTTTTCCTGGTCCCTGATGGATTTGACACTGTCTTCGATTACTCACTTCCTAATGTCATCCCTCCAACAATCAAACATGTGGCAAACCAAACATTCTCAAGTCTTTCCCAAACACAGGTTGTGATTAAATTCCACTGCATCAATGAAATCGTAAGAGGAACAACATAGAGATTGTAGTGATTGGAAAGAGGTCAGCCAGATAAATACCCAGAGAATATGAGTTCCCTGATTGGAGCTGTTCACCCAAGCCAATCAGGGAGCCCCGGCTGACAGGGAGCATCAGGGATTCTGCTCAGTCTAGGAGACGACACTGAGGGAGCTGGGTCAGTGTCACGTACTATGCATCTATAAATAAAGGGTGATTTGGTGACGGGATACCAGCCTTTACGGAGTTATTTCAGAGATAACTTGCAAATATTGATTTGCAAATAACAAGCTTGGTGCACGCCTGTAAAACTGATGATAAAGAGGCTTGAAATAAGGTTTTGAACCCAGACTTCAGACGTGCCGAAACCAGTTGTCACACCATGTCATATCTCATGGTGACATATCTCATCTCTTGCAGGAAAGCACGAGAGTCTGAAGGGGGCGGTGAAGAAAATGAAGACAAAACTCTCAAAGGCATTGAGAATGGGATTTACTGTAATTCACTAGTTGAGACTCAAGGCCGGAAAAATGAAGCCTTCTGTCAGGATGATGACAAATTAACCAAATTATAAGAGACAACTCTTATTAAAGTCAGTGTAAAGTATCTACGCAGGCTATTCCTGCCTCACTCATCATCACAGGAAATTAGCCTTACTTGTAAGAGTTCTGATTAATAAATACAAATCAGCTCGGTTTTAATTTTTTTTCCTTTCCTGATAATTTATGCTAGCTTGTTTTGGGTTAAATGGACTGCAGAATGATCAAAAGATCAAATAGGCCCCATCGCAGCAACTTTGGAGTCATTGCATTGGATGTGACAGTATGATGCCTGTGTTCACCACCTTTTGAAGTGTCGGTTGTTGTATGGGGAGATGCTGCTGTAGTGAGTGAGGACATCACTGTAACATTGTAAGGATGGACTGAATGATAAAATACTGCTCAAATGAGGAAAGACTTCCACCTCTCTATGACTGCCCTTATCTATTTAAGATATTATATATAGAAACATGGTTTCACTACAGGACCAAATAACTTACAAGTTTGTGAAAACTCATCATTGTAATCATTAATAAACCATACGCAAAAATTTACCTTCCCTAACAAGTACGCAACAGTCTTTATTGTTTTGTCATTCGTCGATGATTTTTAACATTTCATATGTTGACTGGGAACAGGGAATTGGATGGGGGAGGAATTTGTTACATGTGTCCAACTGGGGAAGGAGCCATCCTAGACCTTGGTATTGGGGAATAAGCCCAGCCAGATAATCAAACTTTCAATGGGGGAGCATATTGGGAACAGTGACCATGATTCTGTATGTTTTTAGTTACTTATAGATAAGGATAGTAGCAGTCCTCGGGTGGAGGACTTGGGGAAGGCTAGCTGCCACAATATTAGGCTGGAACTGAGGGATGTAGATTGCATTCAGCTGTTTGAAGGTAAATCCACATCTGGCACGTGGAAATGTCTTCAAGGCTAGTTGAACAGAATTCGGGACCAGCACGTTCCTGCGAACATGAGGGATAAGGATGGCAAGATTCGGGAAACTTGGGTAACAAGAGAAATTTTGAGTGTAGTCAATAGTAAAAAAGAGGCATATATGAGGAAACTGAAGACAGACAGAATCCTGAAAGAATTTAAAGAAAGTAGGAAAAATCTTTGACAAGAAGTTAGGAGAGCTAAAAGAAACCATGAAAAGCCCTTGGCAAAAAGGATTAAGGAAAATCCTAAGGCATTTTCTACATCTGTAGATAGCTAGGGAAAGGGTAGGTCCACTCAAGGACAAAGGAAGGAATTTATGTGCGGAGCCGGAGGAAGTGGGTGAGGTCCTTAATGAACACTTTACATGGCTATTCACAAAGGAGAAGGACATAGTTGATGGTAAGTCTAGAAAGAGGTATGTTGATATTCTGGGGCATGTCATTATAAAAAAAGGAGGAGGTGTTGGTTGTTTTGAAAAGCCTTAAGGTAGACAAGGCTCCAGGACTCAGAGGGATCCATCCCAGAATGCTGAGAGAGTCAAAGGAGGAAATTACAAGGGTCTCACACAAAATCTTTGTGTCCTCTTTAGTCACAGAAGAGATCCCAGATGCTTGGAGAATAGCCAACACTGTTTCTTTGTTTAAGAAGTCAACAGGGATAAGTCCGAAAGTTGCAGGCTGGTGAGCCTTACATTAGTGATAGGGAAATTTTTGGAGAAGATCCTTAGGGACAGGATTTATTCACATTTGGTAAAATATGTACTTATTAGGGCTAGGCAGCTTGGCTTAGTGTGGGGAAGGTCGTGTCTCACAGACTTGATTGCGTTTTTTGAGGAATTGGCAAAGATGACTAATGAGGGCAGGACAGTAGATGTCGTCTACATGGGCTTTAGTAAGGACTTTGACAAGGGCTCTCATGGCCGGCTGGTAAGATGGTAAGATGGATACAGAAGACACAGAATAGCAATAAAACATGTTTTTTCTGACTGGAGATCTGTGACATTATGGTGGTTTCACAGGGATCAGTGCTGGGACCCCTGTTTGTAATGCATATATGATTTGGAAGAGAATGTTGGTGGCCTGGTTAGTAAGTTTCTGGACAGCACAAAAAATTGAGGGAGCTGTGAATAGTGAGGAGGATTGTCAGAGGATACAGTAAGAGAAAGATAGGCTGGGGAGGTGGGCAGAGAAATGGCAACTGGAATTTAATCCAGACAAATGCAAGGTGATGCATTTTTGAATGTCTAATGCAGAAGAGATGTATACCGTAAATGACAGAATCCTAAGAAGCATCAACATACAGAGGGATCTAGGTGTACAGGTCCACAGCTCCCTGAGAGTGGTAATGCAAGTGGAATTGATGGTAAAGAAGGTGCATTGCATTCTTGTCTTCATCATTCGGGACACAGAGTATAAAAATTGGCAAGGAACGTTGCAGCTGTGTAGAACTTTAGTTAGGCCACATTTGGAATATTGTGTACCGTTCTGGTCGCCACACTACCAGAAGGATGTGGAGGTTTTGGAGAGTGTTTAAAAATAGTTTAGCAGGAAGTTGCCTGGTTTGGAATGTATTTTCTGTGATGAGAGGTTGGACAAACTTGGTTTGTTTTCACTTGAGAACGTCGGAGGCTGAGGGGGCGACCTGAATGAAGATAATTTTTACTGTGAGGACCAAAATGTTCAGTCGTTTCCACTATCACCCATCGAGTACCCCCCCTCCCCATTATTGTTCACCCACCCCACTCAATTATTCTGTCACCTTGAATCTCCTTCCATTTCCACAGATCTTCTTCATGCCTTTGTTGACTTCCTTACCTTATCTCCTAAGTCCCTAAACTTTGCGGTCCCAATGCCTCTCCTGAACCCTCAACCTACCAGCTCCCTTCCACCTTCCACCACTCTTCCAGGCTGTGCAGTACTGCCCATGCCCATGTAACCTCCACCGCATCACATCCAACTCCTCTCTCTCCCCCACTCCGAACTGAGTACACCTTCTACTAGGCCACACCACAGACAGATCCCCAGACCTAAACAAACCAGGGAAATAGCCTCACTCCAGACACCCTGCTCTCTGTAACATCCCCTTCCCAACTATACTGAAGCGTGCTTCAATATCCATGTACTCCCCCTATCCCTGGCAGTGCCCCATCCTGCCGCACAAAATACCCCACTCTTGCCCAGCCATTACTCCTCTCTGCTGCTTTTGCTCCAGTTAGATTATTGAGAGGCTGGTGTTCTGGGAGACACAAACACATTGGACAGGCTGCACTGCAGCAAGGCCGGGACCAATATCCTCACACAGGGTCATTCACTAGTACAGTGGAGCAAAGATTCAAACCAGAGCAGCTGTGGTCAGGAGACTGAGTGGTGAGAGAAACAAAGAAAGATATGAAAGAAAGATAGAAAAGGAAAATAAAGCAAAAGTTGAATGCTGGGGAAACAAGGGCTAGCGGCATATAAGGCTAGAGTACAAAAGTAGATAGAGACAGAGCGTCATAGAGTCCTACAGCACGGAAACAGGCCCTTCGGCCTAAACTGGTCCATGCTGCCCAAAATGTCCATCCATGCTAACCCCGTTTCTCTGCACTTGGCCCATATCCTTCTAAACTTTTCCTATCCATGTACCCATCTAATTGCATTTTAAATGTTGTTAATGTGCCCCCCTCAACCACTCCCACTTGCAACTCATTCCATATGTGTACCACCCTCTGTGTAAAAAGTTGTCCCTCAGGTTCCCATGTATTCTTTCCCCTCTTACCTTAAACTGATGCCTTCTAGTCCTCGATTCCCAACCCTGGGGAAAAGACTGAGTGCATTCACACTATCCATGTCATGATCTTATACATTTCTATAAGATCCCACTTCAGTGTCCTATGTTCTAAAGAAAAAAGTCCTAGCTTGTCCAACCTCTCCCAATAACTCAGTCCCTTGAGTCCTGGCAACATCCTTATAAATTTTTTTTGCACTCTTTCCAGTTTAATAACATCCTTCCTATAGTAAGGTGACCAAAACTGAACACCATACTCCAAGTGCAGCTTCACCAACATCCTGTACAGCTGCAACATAACTTCCCAACTTCTATACTCAGTGCCCTATCTGATGAAGGCCAGTGTGCCAAAAGCCTTCTTCACTGCCCTGTCTACCTGTGATTCCACTTTCAGAGAACCGTGCACCTGAACTCCAAGGTCCCTCTGTTCCACTACACTCCTTAAGGCCCTACTATTCACCATGAAAATCCTACCTTGATCTGACTTTCCAAAATGCAACACCTCACACATATCTATATTAAACTCTATTTGCCATTTCTTGGCCCACTTCCCTAACTGATCAAAATCCTGCTGTAATTTCTGATAACCTTCATCACTGTCCATGATACCACCTATTTTAGTGTCTCGCTAATCATGCCTGTACATTCTCATCCAAATCATTGATACGGATAACAAACAGCAATGGGCCCAGCACCGACCCCTGAGGCACACCACTAGTCACAGGCTTCCAGGCTGACAAGCATCCTTCCACTATATCTCTCTGCTTCCTACCATCAAGTCAATTGTGTATCTAATCTGCCAGCTCTCTGTGGATTCCATGCGATCTAACCTTCCAGAGGAGCCTACCATGTGGAAACTTATCAAAGACCTTACTGAAACCCATATAGAATATGTCTACCACCCTGCCCTCATCAACCTTCCTGGTCACTTCATCAAAGAACCCTAACAAATTTGTGAGGCATGATCTCCCTTGCACGAAGCCATGATTACTCCTAATCAAACCTGGTCTTTCCAAATGCATGTATATCTTTCCCGCAAAATCTTCTCAAGTAACTTACCTACTACAAATATTAGGCTTACAGGCTTTTCTACGCAGCCCTTCTTGAATAAAGGCACAACATTTGCAATCCTACAGTCTTCTGGGATCTCACCCGTGGCTAACGATGATGCAAATATATCAGCCAGGGCCCTTGTAATTTCTTCTCTAGTGTCTTGCAGGGTTCTTAGATATATCTGGTCAGGATCAGGAGATTTATCCACTTTCATACATTCTAATACTTCCAACACCACCTCTACTGTGATATGTACTGTCCCCCAGATATCGCCTCTAACTTCCCCAACTTCCCAAGTCTTCATGTCTTTCTCCACAGTAAACACAGAGGAGAAATATTCCATGAGGACCTCACCCATCTCCTACAGTTCCACACATATATGTCCACTTTGGTCCTTGAGGGGTCCTAGTCTCTCTCTAGTTATTCTTTTTCCTTTTACATACTTAAAGAATCTGTTTAGATTCAACCTAATCTTCTCAGCCAAAGCTATCTCGTGTCCCCTTTTTGCCCTCCTATTTCCTCCTTCAGTAAACTCCTGTATCCCCTTTATACCTCCAGGGATTCCCTAGTTCCCAGCTGCCTGTACCTGAGCCATGCCTCCTTCTTTTTTCTGGTCAAAGTCTATCCAGGGTTCCCTACACCTGCCCTTCACCCTCGTGGTTGTGTACAAAATGTCATAAAAGACAAGTATGAGAACACACACAGAGCATTTGCAATGAGGTCGATGAATTAACGGCACAAATAGTTGTAAATGGGTGCCATATGATTGCAAAGAGGGGACGAAGCTGCAGAATGATCAA